GGGCTGGCTCTGCGGGCTTCTGGGGGTGGAAGCTCTCCTGCAGCCCCCCAATTGCTCCCTCTCCCCAGATGGCAGCATGCGGCAAGTGCAGCCAGTCTGATGGCCGAGTGTTGTGATGTGCCCAGTGTGGGTACTCCGGGCACTCCAAGCCAGGACTGCTTTGCAAGCGGGGCACCCCTGAGAACTGTCTGTCCGGGGTGGGGGTCGGGACCCTTTAAGCACAGCCCTTGGCTAGCCTGAGACAGCATCTCCACGCTCTAAGTCCTCCTCTGATGCCCTGCCGGCACTGCTTCCGGCCATCCTTAATCCCGGTTCAGGGTCCACTTAATGTGGACGCGCTAGTTCGAATTAGCAAAACGCTAATTCAAACTAGTTTTTAGTTCTAGATGCGTTAGTTCGAATTAGCTTAGTTCGAATGAACTAATTCGAACTAAGTTAGTTCGAATTAGCGCTGTAATGTAGACATACCCTAACAGAAGAGTATGGGCCCAGTTAGGCATAGTGCTGAGTAGCCTCAGAGGTCAAGACCTAACAACCTTGCAAAATGTTATTCATTCAATGTGAGCAATCCTTTATTAGTGTTTTGATTATCATAGTAAATGAAGATGAATAGACTTTGTCTGCGCAGGGAATTTTCATGATTATTTTACAAGATGGCTGCATAGTGATTTTAAAAATGTTATGAATATATTTCTCTCTATTCAAGCTCTGCTCTATACAAATGTATAACAAACAGTCCCTGGATACAAACATTACAAATATGATCCAGATTGTATGCTAACATTTAGGTAGTCTTATATGAAATGTACATCATCAGTAAGCCATTGGGTAGGAAGGAGAGAAATAGAAAAAAATGAGCAGGATGCTTTAAATTTGATTTTTATGATATAACTGAGACAACAAAGAAAGTTAGATTTCTAAAATAAACGTATTGCTGAAAAGACACAGTGGTTCTGTAGCCCAATATAAAAATGAATCTGGAACTTCCCTTGATTGATAAAAGAACTGGGATACGCAGGGTCTGAAAGGTTTATTTGCCCCTTCCTTCTGATGAAGGAAAAGCAACATAAGGTAGTAGCTTATCTGATCCCTGTCAGTGCTAGAAATCTGCCCTCCTCCCTCAACTGCTGTGCTATAGCCTTGATGCAGGTGCAAAATGTTTTCTTACTCCCAGCCAGAGGGTTAGAATATATTTATTAGCTGCATGTGTGCAGCCTGAATATTCTGCCCACATATCTACAGGAACAACACCCTCCTATATAAATCTGAACTAGAAATCAAAGGCAGCACCCACAAATGTAAAGTTTGCTGCAAAATTAAGTTATTTAAAAAAATCCACTTGGGAATTTGTTTTTAAAGAGGTTTTCCTATGTATAAATAGTGTGGTTAATTCTAGTCTACATTTTCTAAGTAGCAGTAGAAATAATGGAAAGTAAAATCAACAACAAAAAAGGAGCTAATGATCTTCTTTCTTATATGTTCCTTCAAAATCTCAGCTGACAGATCATCTCCAAATAATTGTAAAGATACAAGAGAGGGATTTCAGTGTCCCTATTCTTAGGACAGACATTATCCGCTATACATGTTGTGACACAGAGGCCCTTAAGGAATCTAAAGTATATTTTTTCTGTCTGTCAGGCAAAGAAGTGAAGATTGCTAGAAGCTCCATCTGCTGCCGAGGACCATGAGGAGGCTACTGTGCATGCATGGCATGGCATGGCAGTGCTAGGAAAAATCTCTGACCCCTGGCACAAGGATGCACCAACACTTAGAGAACCTAAAGCAGGAGTACGGAATCTTGTTGGGGTTGGGGGCTCCTGACCCACAGAAAAATCAGTTGGGGGCCGCACATAAGTGAGAAGCAAAAACAAAACAAAAACCCAAACCCTCACTAATGTGGCCCCCCAACTGAAAAGGAGAAAGACACGCACCACATTCCCTTGGTACACCAGAGTCTAGGGGAGCCTAGGCTAGTAGATTTTGTGTGCTCCAGCTCCATAGAGCTCCAGGCTCCAGCGGAGGGATGGAACTCCAGCGCAGGCTCCCCAGTGCTGAGGGGGAGCCCAGAGCCTCGATGCCCGGGTGCAGGCAAGCCTGGGGCTGGGGCTGCATCTGGCCTCTGGGCCTTAGGTTCCTCCCTTTGACCAAAAGGGACAGCTCTCAAATTAAAAACAATTCTTTCAATCTTCCCTCATAGGTCATGTTTTCTAGACTTTTAACTATGTTTGTTGCTTTTCTCTGGACCTTCTCCAATTTCTCCACATCTTTCCTGAAACATGGTGACCAGAACTGGACACAATGTTCCAGCTGAGTCCTAGTCAGTGGAAGCATTACTTTCCATGTTTTGCTCATAATACATTTCAGAATGATGTTTCCTTTTTGAAACTGTTTCTTCTTAAGTGGAATACTTTGCACTTGTAATTGTTGAATTTCATCTTACTTTACTTCAGACCATTTCTCTAGTTTCTTCAAATCATTCTGAATTATAATCCTCTTCTCCAAAGCACTTCAACCCCTCGCAGTTTGGTATAATCCACAAACTTTGTAAGTGTACTCTCTATGCCATTATCAAAATAACTGATGAAGATACTGAATAGAACCCATCCCAAAATTGATCCCTGAAGAACTCCACTTGTTATGCCCTTCCAACAGGACTGAAAGTGACGTTGTAATTATGCATTCCATCAATAAAAATGAATTGTAGGAGTGATATGGAATGTATAAGAGCATTTTTGTTGGTGCAAAGAGACATTATGAGGCAATTTATCTATGTCAAAATTGGAATAAGCACACATTTGACATTTACTTTTTCTTTAATTATAGGCATTTCATTTTACATATTTGGTCAAAGATTTTACTTTACCTCTTGAGTCCCAGTCAATGTGTGTGATATAGCTAGATGCACCTTTGCAGATGCCAACTCTTTTGCTGGTAAGCACATTGTAAATATCTACAAAATTATCATGGGAAGCCACTGCCAAATATTTTCCTGCATCTGTAAAAGAAAGACATCCAGGTTAACTAAAATATATATGATTATTCTTGATACTATTATTATTACATATTTCTTCCATGTTAGCACTCAAAACACATCAATCAAGATTAGAGGCCTGATGTGCTAGGCTCTGTACAAACACATCAGAATGAAAAATATCTAAAAGTCATGGAACACATGGCTCTTAACATTCCATAGTAAGTCTATCATTGAAAACAAAAACAAGAAACAACTTATTTTATCCTTTGACTGTACCTCGTGAAAATTTGATATCAGAGATCATTTCCTTTCTGTGGTGGAAAGAGACCATATCCTCCACAGTGTCAGCGTTGACTACCAGAAAACTCCCATCATTCAATCCTACAGCCAAGGCTTTCCCATCAGGAGAAAAGGCACAGCATCTTCCACCTGGAAAAGAAATAAAAAGAAGGCCTTACTGTTTATAATTTTGGACTGAGGAAATATTTGGCAGCTAAAAGGTCTCCCCACAAGAAAGTCTATACATGAATCATTACTTAGGGATGTCTATGCTGCAATAAGAGGTATGATTGCAGATCCTATTATCATACTAACACTGCCTTTAATCTAGCTATTACAGTTAAAAATAGCTGTGAAAATGTGATGGCATGGATTGGAGCACAGCCTGTATGTTCATATACAGTCATGTTACTAGCTTATGCAGGAATCCATGCTGACACACCTTCACTGCTATTTGTAGTTGCGCTAGGAGATTAAAGAGACCATGGGTATGTCTAGGTGAACTGCAATTGCACCTCTGACTGGCGCATAGACATATTTCCTAACATTAGTGTGACAATCTAACTGCATAACTGTTATTTGTTAAAACAAATATATCATGTGACAGTAGAACAACAAATAATGCTTTCCTACATTTCAAAGAAATGTGCTCATTGTATTTTAAGTCTTGAAACTGACAGGGGATAAAGCGGATAAAGAACTATCAGTTTTGGAAGGGAGTTATGTTATGTAACAGCACAAATAATACCTATAATGCTTTAAACACAGCCAAAACAAGAAGATCTGGAATTAACATAAAAATGGAAATCCAGAATAAAAATCCAAGGAGCCATTCTGATTTACGTGATTTTACAAATCTTACAGGGAAATTGTGTCCCATGTATGAAAGCTCCTTTGGGTTATGACTGTGTGATTGTTCCACTTTGGTGGGGCAAAGGTAGCATAAAACCATATGCCTAGAGCCTCCCACCATCAACTTTTCTCCCAATATTAATTCTGATCAGAATGTCTCATACCATGAATCTCATTCACCTTGAGTTTGCCTCACTAAAGCATACTGATGGTGATTCTACTTTCTCTGAGCCAATTAGAATTTCATATGCTTCTGGTCTATTACTAAAAATCAAGCCTTTAATTTTAAATACAATTAAAATACCTAAAGGAATCTACAAATGAAATAAAAGTTGGAATTTCAGGAGCATCATTTCAGCACACTCATTGCTTAATGTGTAAGATTGACCAGCTGCCCAGAAGTTGAAATGGGAATAAAATATAAAGTTACATTGCCACTGGACCCTGATCCTGAGTAATTTTTATCACACAGAAAATTGTCTTGTCTGTAACTTGGCAAGAAATCTTTTTAAAGCAAAACAATAAACCATTTGTGGACTTTAAAATGTCTTTATGGAAGGACAATGATTTTATGATTAAAACATAGGACTAGGGCCTGGTCTACACTAGGATGTTAGTTCAAAATTAGCCTCCCCAAAGGTCGATTTTGTAAACGATGCATCCACACTACCAAGCCCATTATTCCAGAATAAGAGATCATGGAATTTGAACTCTGTAGTCTTGTTTTTCATGAGGAATAATGCTATTCCCACACTTGTAAGTCCGAAATAACATTTGTGTGTATACTCTGGTGCCCCTAGTTTGAAATAATTGGCCTCTGGGAGGCCTCCTGCAGCTCCCCACAGTGCTCCCTGGGACTCCGAACCTGAGGCAGTGCATTGGCATTAACAGAGTCTGTCTCATACTACATTTGATTCTTCCCCATAGAGAGAACACGGAACTTTGAATTTGTAAAATTGGGTGCCCAGAAGTTGAACTTTGTAAATTTGGACTAATCTCTTAGTGTTGAGGAGTACAGAATCTGCTGAAAAATGAGGAGTACGGAATCTGCCAAAAAAGTCCCCGCTGTCGGCAGAAACACAGCAGAACCGCAGCTACACTTTACTTTCACTTTAGACACTGAGCCTGATCGACATAGCGTCGGAACATGAGTATGCAAATGAAGCCCAGGATATTTAAATCCTGGGCTCGTTTGCACTTCCAAAGTGCTTGATTTGCATCCCCCTGTCGGCAGAGGGATGCAGTCGAGACACAGATGGAAGGCACTATAGAAATGCAGTGCAGTATTATTACTTATAAAGTATATACAGTGAAATGAGAAAGTTACCTTTTTTGAGTTTCCTCACTGCTAGCATGCGGTGTTGTGAGGAAAGTTCCCAGATTCTCAGTGTTTTATCATCACTCACGGTTGCACAGATAGGCAAGAGAGGGTGAGCTGCCAAGCCCCACACTTCCCCTTCCATATGCCCCTAAGGAAAGTCATAGAAGTTAAGGATAGATAACATTTTTTAATATCTCCAGGTTATTCCTTTGTTAGTGCATTTTCTAGAGCCTTGTCTATCTTTTAAATGTCTCACATAAACAGGTGTTCCATCACCTCCTTCAAAAGATGTTTTTCATTCTAAGGAAGAGTATTTTTACATTTCAAAGTACAGATATAAATTCCCAGCACAAGGAGACATACACACACACTAGCTCTGATCAAGCTGGTGGACTAAAAATGCAGCCATAACAGTGTGAGGGATTGGTGCCCCAAATACATTCTTAATGTCTCTGATAGGCATGTATTCTGGGGGTTAACCCCTCTTGCTGGTCATGTAGCTGTGACTACCCTAGTTTTCGTGCACTAGTTCAATCAGAACGTGTTCAATTATGTGTTCTCGAGCAGGAAATTGCTCCCCCACTAAGCTCCAAATATAGATAAGTCCTAAGAGAACTTAGTGTCAGGTCCCATCCCAATAATCAGCAGGGGTGGGGAACCTCAGGCCTAGGGGCCAGGTGTGGCCCCCAACTTGCCTGGATCTGGCTTCCGAGGCTCAGTCTCCCTCCTTCTTCCCCCCAGCATTGTACAAAATCTAGGCTTAGGCAATGGGAGCGGAATGTTGGAGTGTCTTTCCCCTTCTCAGTTGGGGACCACCTCAGTCAGGGGTTTTTTTTGTTTCTTTTTTTTTGCTTCGGCCCCAGCTGATTCTTCTGTGGGTCAGTGGCCCTGACCCAAAAAAGGTTCCCCACTCCTGGCCTAAAGGTGCCCTTCTTTAATTTCAACCTGTTACTATGAGGTGTACAATCCTAAACAAATTGTCCATGTTCGGGTACTATCTTGAGATCCTAACACAGGCAACATTCTCAATGAAGTCTATGGAAATTAAGCTTTCTGCAAGACTCTGATCTGGTCATTCCTTAATTCTTTTAATTTTTTCTCATAAGTCACCACATATTCATTCTGCTGATACCATTATTGGACCTAACCAAGTGAGTTATAAGATCAAGAACACATATTCCTGCGCATCCAGAAATATAATCTACGCTATCATGTGCCGAAAGTGTCCGTCTGCTATGTACATTGGACAAACATCTCAGACACTTCGCCAAAGGATTAATGCCCACAAAACAGATATCAGACAAGATCACAAAGAGAAAACAGTTTCTTGCCATTTTAACCAGAAAGGACACTCTCTCAATGACTTGACCACCTGCATTCTGCTACAAAGACCTTTTACATCTGCACTTGAAAGGGAATCCTCTGAACTGTCATTCATGTTAAAATTCGACACTTTCCAACAAGGACTTAGTTCAAATGTTTGTTATCTCACCCATTACCAAGATAGTTTCCCCAATTATCACCTCTAATACCATTAACTCACAAACATCCCACTCTCCCTACCTCTAATATCATCAATTCACAGACACTTACCTTCCTTCCTCCCCCTCCCCCACCCCGCATCTCCCTTCTGTTCTGCAATGTGATTTGTCCTTTTCATATTTGTTCATTTTTTTTAATTGTATCCTTTGGTATATATGGTTGTGACTATTTTCTTCCACTATTTGATCTGAGGAAGTGGGTCTGGCCCACGAAAGCTCATCATCTAATAAACCATCTTGTTAGTCTTTAAAGTGCTACATTGTCCTGCATTTTGCTTCAGCTACCCCAGACTAACACGGCTACATCTCTATCACTAAGTCACTCTATGTCCCTTTAATCATTTTTATTGCTCTTCTCTGGATTTCCTCTACTTTGGATACAGCTTTCCAGTACTAGATGCTGACCATTACATGCATGAATGACAGGCAAGATGGTGGTAGTGTCCACAGTGGTCAAGAAAGGAGGAGGGGAAGAGGCTTTGCAGGCAAAGAGATAAAGAGCTCTGTTTGACCTATGTCAAATGTCAGAAACAGAAGCCAAGACATTAATTTGGCTAGAAGACAGATCTATAGTAAAGAGTACTCCATGCTACCTACTTCTTCATACCTTGTCAATGATTTTTATCGCATGCATAAACAGAGGAAACTTGAGTATGAGTTGACAGATTATTTTACCTCTATAGTTGGTGCTTGTGTGACCACTGCTGATATATTGTGCCCACAGTTCAACAAGGATGTTGATAAATTGAAGAGGGTTCAGAGAAGAGCCACAAGAATGATTAAAGGATTAGACAACATGCCTCACATTGACAGACCCAAAGAGGTCAATCTATCAAACAAAGAAGATTTGATTTGATTCATTTGATTATAGTCTGTAAGTATATATAAGGAGATCAAATATTTAATGATCCTATGCAGGAAGTCGAAGCTAGACAAATTCGGATTGGAACTAAGGTGTACATTTTTAACAGTGATAGTAACTAACCTTTTGGAATTACTTACCAAGGATCACTGTGAATTCTCCATCATGACCATTTTAAAATAAAAATTAGATTTTTTTTCTAAAAGATACGCTTTAAGAATTATTTTGAGGAATTCCTATTGTCTGTGTTAAGCAGGGATCTCAAACAAGATGATCACAATGGTTCCTTTGAATTTATGAGTCTACTGCAGTACAAGGTTAGCTCATTTCTTATTATTGTGAATCATGGACTCCCATTTAGCAATTTGCATTTTATAGATATGGACAAGTTCCACTAAAACAACAAAAATGTACTGGTTCATCAGGCCATCCTGATAACATCTTATATATTTTCTATTTGTGCTTGAGCTGATACATGTATATTAGTAATTTTGTCTGGATGATATATGATAAAAATTATTTCCACATAACTTCATCATGCTAGGTACAGGCATCACATATCTTTATCAGCATAACTTACCACAGAAATCAGGTTATTTTCATACAATTTCAGTATCACATTACATTAGTATTTGTCAGAGTAGAAATATATGAGAACAAGATTATGATTGCAAATGTTCTGGTTAAAACTCAAGTATTATGGCTACCACACAAGTAGCAGAAAGCTGAAAGGTTGCTTTACATGGCTGGAACTAATTCCCCAGAACAGTATTGCAGATAAGAAATAAAGTTTTGTAAAAAAAAAACCATAATAAATTATAAAACAGAGCCTGAGATACATCTATGATTTAATAAAATAGAATGCAAATAAAACAAAATAAACATTATTACTACTTTAACTCAAGTTTTGTTTTTTAAAAGTGGCTGAAACCCCCCAAAATGGATCAAATTACAATAAACTTCATACTATTTTTTTTAAAAAACCCATGAATGTACAAAAATAGAATTTAAACAATTTTCATTTTAAAAGAAGTGCTATCCTGCAAAGTTGGAAGCTATTAAAACAAAACAACATTAGAAATCTCAAGTGGCACATATATCTGAAATATGCTAAATACTTTTGCTAAATCCATAGATGTTATAAGTCACTGAAATAGTTGTCTCTCAATGTTTCAGGAAAGATGCAATAACAGATTGCTGAAGTGAGCTGTCAATTTACTAAAACTGAACATTAATTACAAAATAAAATATAGTATATTTACTAATATGTTAGCTTATTTCAGCATAAATAAACTGAACCATAGTTGTCAAAATAAAATGAATATACTATGTTTTGTATTGCATAACCCCTTCTTCTTTGTTTTTACTCTTTATATTTCCTTAGGTTCCAATACTGCTCCCATTAAAGTAAATGAAAAGACTCAATAGTACTCAAAGCCAATGGGCTCTCATTTGTTTTGTCCCCTCAAAATTCAGTAATTCACAATAGGCCTCCAAATCATCAATATGAATCAGCAAGGTTCCATTGCATGTCAGTTTCTGAATGAACAGAGACAGGGAGGGATGGTGAATAACAAATATACCTGAACAAGAAGAGTCATGGGGCCACTTTTATCAATTTCAAGTATCTCTCCATTTCTAGTCCCCACTAGTATATGCCCATGCCCTAAGGTGATGGCACGAATGGATGGATTGTCTTCTAAAAGTAAACCTGAAGATAAAACGATATGCATTTAAATTTATTATTTACAAAACCAAAGAAAAGTCTCAATAATATTGTACCTTACATTATCTATGATCAAAATCTATTTAAGATAGTCACACTGTAATATGTTAGATACATTTGTTTGGTCAAACAGTTCACTGACCTACGGATTTATGCAATAGTTGAGAAGAAAAGGGGGTTTATGCTAATTGATACTGTGCAGAGGATTCTCTGATCATTTAAAGGCAGATATTCTATTGTTTTATAAATGATTATGTTTAATTGTCTAAGATCTCCAGGTGCTATAGCAACACAGGAGTTAGTTTCATAAATATCTGTACATATTATTTTGAAAACTTTGTCTGGTATGATCATGTTCCAAACTAACACATGACATTAATCCATTACAGAATATAGATAAATATTTCTGTAAAAGCACAATTCACTGGGTCTTTTAAATTACAAGGAATCTACTTCTATTCAGAAAACTGCCATGTAAAAGGGGCACTGAAAAAACTTGTTATTTAATATAGAGAATGCATTTTGCAATATGTAAAAATAGGTTGCTGATGCTTTCTAAAAATGCTGTTACTTATCCAAAACCAAAGCCAAATGTCAGGAGACATTTATTCTTTATCAGTACATTCTGAAAAATGGTACCTTTAGAGCTAGTGGATAATGCTGCTCTTTTGATAGCATAAGTCTTCAGGCACCTCTCAAACATATCATCCCAGAGTGCCACAACTCCATCTTTTCCACCTGTTACAAAACCCTGCAAAGTTTGAAAAATATATTTAAACACCAACCTTCTACATTAAAATGTTAACCCATAAGATGACGTGTCCATATTGATCTCAAATTCATAGAATCATAGAACACTAGCACTGGAACGGTCCTCGAGAGGTCATCGAGTCCAGTTCCCTGTCCTCACAGCAGGACCCAGTACCATCTAGACCAGTGTTTCCCAATTTTATTTGGCCGAGGAACCCTTTTCAGCTTTTCAGAATTTCAAGGAACCCCTAGGTTTGTCAAGCAAGTAGGAATAAGAGATCCTCCGGAATAGGGCTAAAAAAAGCGGCGGCCATGAAAATACAAATGCCGCGGGGGATATTTAAATCCCCCGCACATTTGCCTCTTCCAAAGTTCTACATTTGCATCCCTATTCCGTAATAGGGGCCAATATAGACGTAGCCGCCGTGTGTTCTTGCGCAAGTATGTTGACGTTCTCATGTATGAAATCAGGGCTTCTTGCGCAAGAACTATGATGCTCCTGCTCAGGAATAAGCCCTTTTGTGCAACTGTTCTTGCACAAGCGGCCAGAGTAGACAGGCAACATGAATTTCTTGTGCAAGAAAGTCCTATAGCTAAAATGGCCATCAGCACTTTCTCACGCAAGAGAGCGTCCACACTGCCTTAGATGCTCTTGTGTAAAAGCACAGCTCGCACATGGCAGTGTGGACGTGTTCTTGCACAAGAACTCTTGCTCAAGATGTTCTTGTGCAAGACACCGCCAGTGTAGACATAGCCTAAGAGTTTCCTCACATGAGCAGAATTAATTTTGTGTTGTGCACCAGTACTGAGTTCATGTGGCTTGTTTGGATGTGCCACTGTGGCACCCAAGTTATTAATAAATATTTTTAGACCTTTACCTTTTCTCTCTGCTGCCATGTGTCCTCCCCTTGTTCCATCAGCTCCCCTGGTGCCTGCTGCCTCCCAACTCTTCACCCTCCTCTGCTGTCCTGACTCCTGCCCTTCTCACTGCCCTCAGCCCTCCTGCAACCTGCCCCCCCCTCCACCAGCCCTTCTCTCCTCCCTGTGCCCACTCCTCCAGTAGCCCCACTCTGACTCCCTGAGCCCTGCCCCCCTCCACCAGCCCTTCTCTCCGCCCGTGCCCACTCCTCCAGTAGTCCCACTCTGATCCTGTGAGCTACCCCTCTTCTAACACCTCCGTCTACACACCTGCCCTGCCTCTCTCCTCTGGTGCTGGTCCTTCCCCTGCAGGTGTCTGCCCTTCTGCTTCACCACCAGAATCCCCTGGCACTTGCACCTTCTCTTACTCCTGCACCCTCCTGTTGCCTCCCCCTTCCCTCACTGCCCCTATCTCCTTTGCCCTCTTTTTCCCTGATGCCCACCCCCTCACCACCCTCTGCCCCCGTTCCGCTCATGCCCCTGTGCCCTCACACATGACTTGCTCCATCCTGGCCTTCCTCATGCCCACCCCTTCTTTCAAGACTTCTCCCAGCACCTCCCCGTCTCCCCTCTAGCCCCCAATGCCCTTACCCTCTCCCCTCCCTGCATCACCCTGTCCCCCTACCACTAACACCTCCCCTCCTGCCTTTTTCCTCATTGTCTGCTCTTGGCCCCCTGGCATTTGTCTCTCCTCTACCCTGTCCCTTTGGTGCTTTCCCCTCTCTTCCCCCTTTCCCTTCTGCACAAGCCCCTTCCTCTCCCAGCCCTTTCCCTTCCCCTTCCCCTACTTTCTGCCTTCCACTTTGTGGGGCTGGAGTCTGCACTCCGTCCCCGGACTCCGAACCCGCAACTCAGCCATATGGCGCAACCCAGCACCAAGCAGTTTTTTACCCCTTTTAAGATAATCCAAAGACTCTCAACACTTCTGTCTCCTACGTCCATCTCCATCTCAGTCCAAGTGTATACATTTTAAATATATTAGGCAACACCTCCTCTCTTTTCCCCCCGCCTGAGTAAACTAGACCCTTCTATACCAATATTCCAATCCTGTGTATTATCCCATCAAGTCTCTGTGATTCACAGTACAACTTCCTCTTTGTCTATTTTGCATAGGAGTCTCCCAGAAAATCTGTGGTCAGATTACAGCTGTTCAGCGTACAGGTATTAAAGAGCACCTTCCTTAGGGCCCAATCCCACAGACATTTACAACTATAATTTCTTGGGCCAAGCTGTTTACTCAGATAAACATTTACAGCTCCTAAAGACTTCAAGTTGTTGGATAATATCTGGGGGCACAATTTAGGCACTGTCTTAAACTATACTTTCAAAATTAAAATATAATTTGCCACATTTTCGTGTAAGGATTTACTAACGACACTATAAGAAGAAATCATTTTGGCAGTTATCCAAACTACTTGGAAAACAATATCATCCTTTGATGGTGGAAATTCTTCTTGTCTATGGTGATACTCTAATGAATCAGGTATTAGTGCTATCTTGGGAGCTCCCAATGCATGAACAACTTCATCATTAAATTAGTTGTTGTCTCTATGATGGGGTTACAAATATTCTCTGTTACTCTGCATGCCTCCAAAGACATGGAAATGAGAGAAATGTGTACAGTGAAAAATGTATTCTGTATATTTTAGATTTACACTATTTTGGCTCATCTTAGAAAGATAGGGTGCATCTAGCTGGCACCCTTCTGTTGGAATAAGCTATGCAATTGGTGCTATGCAGTCAAGGTTGAAAGAGCTGTGTAGACAACACCAAATTTCAAAATAAGGCACTATTCCGACAAATCCCTTAACCGTCATGGAACAAGGGTTACAGGGACACCAGAATAGTGTGCCCACTATGTTGGGAAATAGCGGGTGCTTTTAAAGATGCAATGTTGCTATTTTGGGATACTTCTGGTATCCCGAAATAGTGCCACAGTCTAGATGTCCCCCTACTCATCATAGGTCAATACATAAAATGTTGGCAAAGGAGCATATCATCATAAAACATGTAATTATCATTAATTACATTTTGTAGATCTCACATTCCATTTAATCTACTGCAATCTGTTCTGCTGATACTGAAAACATGTTGTTAAAGCACATCCATTGTCTTCACTAACAAAACACAATGCACTGATGTATTTCTGCACAAAACCACAAGTGTTTTTTCAGTACATATACTCTCCTTCTATGCACTTTCAAAACCCACAATAGTAAACAAAATAATGAACAGCAAACAGACTATATAAGAAGATGAATACCTTATCCAATGAATGCATAGCAAATACCGGTCCATCATGGGCTTTCACTGTCTTAAGCAAGAGAATATCTTTCCAGATGTAAATATCTCCAGTGGCAGCTCCTGAGAAAACCAGATCTTCTATTCGCCCATAAGAAACACTCATCATGGTTTCCAGTTTCCCAATATTTCCAAAGGTCCCTCGTTTGGATGTAAACCCTCCTCCTATAATGTGAACAACATTAAATCTCACTACATTTTCCATTTGCATCTTCAGTGCTGTGAATAACAAAAATTCTGCCACATAACTTACTGTGAATGCAGAATCCCGACTAGGCAGGCAATAAGAATGTTGGGATTACAATTCACAGTGAGACAGCAGAACATGGGAAATTCATGTAGTGTTACTATACCCCACCCCCAAAGGTGTTCAGAGTTTTCTTTTATAGGTGATTATTTTAAGCTGCTGATGAATCTTTGGGAGAGATCAGATGGAGAAAGTAAGGTCCTGGTTGGTAGATTAATTGTTCTACAAATCTACCTGTCAATTTGCTTTTCTCTTGTGGAGGAGGGTACAGTAATACAGAAGCTGCTTATAGTATGAAGGTTGTATAAGTGGGAATGGAGCAGTTCTTCAGACTGAATGGGAGGGTTTTGTCCTCATTTCACTGCCAGAGAACCATACTGTGCCAGATTGGGCTAAAACAATTTGCTTGCCTCAAGGGTCACAGTTTTGGCCTAAGTGCACAAAGAATGAATGATCCTAGACAAAACTATAACTACAACATGTAGTAGGATAATAAAGAAATAATACAAATTTGATTTATTTGCTTTAGTTTGCACATATAAACTCACATTCTGATACTCTTACCGTAAATGTCATTTATTCCAATGAGTTTATGCATGGAAAAAGGTGCAATTTAATGTGAATACATATCAGACTTTTGCCAATAGTACTGCATGTGCTTTTCTTTTATTATAATAATAACAAATACAATAAAATCTTGCCTTTTAAAATCTGTTGGTACTTCAGCTACTTTGGCTTTATAAACCAGCATAGCCTCTTGTATACTAAGTCAATTCTAGTTTTAGCTATATCAGTACGGCTACGTCTAGACTGGCCCCTATTACGAAATAGCCATGCTAATTTCCAACTTTGGAATAGGGAAATCCACGGGGGATTTAAATATCCCCCGCGGGATTTAAATAAACATGTCCACCGCTTTTTTTCCGGCTTGGGGAAAAGCCGGAAAAAAGCGTCTAGACTGGCGCGATCTTCCGGAATAAAGCCCTATTCCGGAGGATCTCTTATTCTTATTCTCTTGCAAGTAGGAATAAGAGATCCTCCGGAAAAGGGCTTTATTCCAGAGGATCGCGCCAGTCTAGACACTTTTTTCCGGCTTTTCCCCAAGCCGGAAAAAAAGCGGCGGACATGTTTATTTAAATCCCGCGGGGGATATTTAAATCCCCCGCGGATTTCCCTATTCCAAAGTTGGAAATTAGCATGGCTATTTCGTAATAGGGGCCAGTCTAGACGTAGCCTACGGGTCTGTCTTTACTGATCTTAATAGGGGTAAGGATTAATCAAAAATAACTTTAAACAGCATTCATGGGTCTGAGAGTAACAATCCTGGGAGAGCATACAAGGCAAAATACTTACTTAAAACTCAAGTCTAAATAATTTGCTCTCTTTCTCTCTCTCTCTCTCTCTCTCCTAACATTGACAGGACAGTCAAGAGGAACGGTCACTCCCACAGTCTGCAACACGTTTTTAGAGCATAACAGATGTACTTAACTGAATTTAAACTGGTAAAAATCTTGCGTGTGTCATACACAGTCATATGTATTACTATGAAACAATATCATGACATGATGATAGATTTTTTTGAGGTCATAAAATAAATTTAAACCATGACAACTTATGCAAAATATTTGATCACCATTTTTTCCAGGCTATTCAGTCTGGCAACTTGAGTCATAGTTGCTATAACTTTCTGACGACTAAAGAAAATTCTGTCTAGAAAACATAAGGATTACAGAACTGTAGCTGGAATTCAAAAACTACTATTTTTAGCAGTCCAGCTTGACACTTAAGTCCAGTTAAGACACTTAACTACCAATTGGCTTCTTTATAGCTAATAGTTAAAGATGGCCTCCAAAAAGGGGCAGGAACATGGTGTCATTTAGGGTATCTCTACACTGCATGCTTATTTCAAAATAAGGTATTCTGGAATAGTTATTCTGAAATAGCTTATTTCGAAATAGAGCATCCACACTACAGGGAAGCCTCAAACTTAGTCCGAGGCAGGCTCTCCTAATGTGGATGCACCTTCTCAATTTAGAGCCCCAGGAAACACTGGGGAGAAATTGTTTAGAATGGCCCCGTGGAAGAGCTATTTCAAAATAGCAGCAGTGGAGTGTCTACACTGCAGCTATTTTGAAATAGCTATTTTGGAAGAGGAGTTATTCCTCATGGAATGAGATTTACAGAAGTCATAATAAACCACCTGTTATTTCGATATTATTTCAAAATAACGGAATTGCTGTGTGGATGCTCGCTTGTTATTTCAGAATAATGCTAGTTATTCTTAAATAACGGTGCAGTGTAGACGCACCCTTACAGATTCAAAAGCAGATTCTGCAATTCTATAGTATTTTGATTACTAGAAACTTCAGACAGATTTAGACTCCTAATATACAAATGAATTAAAATATTAACTCAATACAGTACCTGCTTGTTGCCAAAATTTGATATGTTTCATCCCAACTGTAACTAATTTGTCTACATGATGTGGGTTACACTTCACTACAAATATTTTATCTTTATGGCCCCTAGAATAAACAAACACGTTATAAAAATGACTGAACATTTTAAATAAATAATTTTATACATTTTGAATGTTTTATAATTTTCCACAAAATCAACTACAAATGAGTAACATTTAGGATAAAAAGGTTACTTACCCATATGGTAACTCATGTTTTTCAAGATGTACAGCTTGTACAGTAATTCCTCACTTAACACATGCCCACTTAACATGTTTTTGCAATAGCACAATTTTTTTTGGGAACATTTTTCGAACAACACGACCCATCCCCGCAATAACACGATTTCCCCTAGGGCCGGCCGGTGGCCGGCAGCTGCACAAGGCTTCCCCTACGCCAGCGCCCCCCCCCTCGCCGTGCTGTTCCCCAGTGACCCCCTCTGGCTGGATGCCTCACTCCCTCTCCTCTGCCCACCGCTTGCAGCAGGCAGCTGAATTTCCCTAGCTGACCGGTCACTGGCATCTGCGCAGGGCTTCGTCTGCCTCCTTACAAAGCTGCAGAGGTTTGCCACTCACCGCGCAGTTCCCCGGTGACCTCCTCTGGCCAGACGCAAGGCATCGAGCCAGAGGGGGTCACCGGGGAACTGCGCAGTGAGCGGAGAACCTCCACCGCTTTGTAAGGAGGCAGACGAAGCCCTGCGCAGCTGCCAGTGACCGGCGAGCAGGGGAAACCCAGCCGCCCGCTGCAAGCAGTGGGCAGAGGAAAGGGAGCAAGGCATCCAGCCAGAGGGGTTCGCCGGGGAACAGCGCGGCGAGCGGTGAACCTCTGGAGGCAGGGTAAGCCCTGCGCAGCTGCCGGGGACCGGCCAGCTGGGGGAACCCCG